CTCCTATTCATGTGATTGAGATTTTTAAATCTAACATACGCTCTACAATAGACCCAAAGACAGGGGAGCTAACAGGGGTCATTCTGTCCTCCAGCTTTTATTATCAGATCAGGTAGCTTTGTCCTGATCTAAAAAGGACAAAACACAGTTTAGAGCTGGAAGATATCCGTCTGGTGGCTTCGTTAAGGGTCTAAATCAGTGTTTTTCAACCTTTTTTGAGCCAAGGTACAGTTTTTCATTGAAATAATCTCGAGGCACACCACCAACCAAAAATGTCAAACAAATCTGTAGCCGCCTATAGTAACACTATAGTTATTTTTATTTTATTCTTATCTTATCTTAAGTGTCTTGAATAGGAATCAAATAAACACAAAAATGTATTTTTTATAATTTTTTATATTTCTTCTTTCAAATTGCTCTTAACTTGTCCAATTCAATATACAAAATGATATACAAAATCTAGTCATAAGGAATTATTACATGATTACTCCACCAGTCACTAGAACAGCACACACACTCAGAAATGGAATATTATTTGCAGATAATTAATTCCTTATCAAATTTTTTTTTAGACCAATTAGGTGAAATAGGATGATTTTCTACACCTGACCATCACTAACGGCACACTAGTGTACCGAGGCACAGTGGTTGAAATACACTGCTCTAAATGACCAAAAATACCCCAAGAAGAGGCTTCAGAAGACTTAAAAACAGCAGGGTGGAGCATAAACCCCACCAGCCTCCTCTGAAACCTGGTTCTCCTCAGGTTTCCTCCAGTTCTCCCCAAAGGCAGAGAGGTCTGGAAAATGTGACCACCGCACAAGCTATGAGAAAATGAGCTTCAACTGTAAGGTTAATGGTATCCACTGACCACAAAAAGCCACGGGCAGATGACTAAGAGTCCACACCCGTGACTCACACCCTCCCACAAACAATGGGTTTGGTCCATATTCAGCATCTGGCTCATTTAGAAAGAGAAACTGGGTTTTAATTGACTCTTATGGACAAAGGTCAGTGGGTTAGAGGTGTGTTTGGCAATAATTAAACTACAAATGTTCAAGATCGCTTCTTAAAACTCATTTTTATTCCTTGGCATTTAATTGAATTAGTGTTTGATACCTTGTCTTATTCATTTGTGTTGTTGTCACTATTGTACAGCACTTTGGTGCAGTTCTATGCCTGTTTTAAAGTGCTATAGAAATCAATTTGACATTGACATTTGACAAGATTGTTCTTGTGAGGAAAAACCATTTCATTTCCAGGAAGTTTGCATCCTGGATCTAAAACTCAAACCGATTAATTTGGATGATATTTGAACATTTAAAAGGCATCAAAAGCTTGACTTCAATTACACTTTAACCCTTTAAAGCCTGATCCAAGAAAAATAGGAAGAATATTGGATTTTTTTTAGTCTGAAGTCTTTCTTTGTCCCCTCAACAACATATGAAGAAAAAAAACAGAAATTATTTTGATCAAATTAGCGTGCAATAAGTCAAAAATCTATGTTGGTGTAGTCTTCTACTGGCTGTTATCAAGTATATCTGAATGTGTACAACAGGGGTTTGAGCAAAGCTTTTACCACTGAATGATGCAAAAAGTATCAGATCCAAAAGAAACCGGATCAGATATGACACATTCGGCTTTATAGGGTTAAAAGAAAAAATCTAACCATCTATCTTGCTTGCTCTTTGAATACAAAAGACAAGTAAAGAGACTTTTCTAATTTCAGGGAGATCTTAAATCCAGTGGCTCTGTTTCTCCACATGTCCCAGTCATGTATGTTTTCTCCTGTTTTCCAGGTTCATTCTTCTAAGTGGCACTCTCATTCCCCGCCGCCCTTCATCCCGTCCTTCCCGGACGGCTTTATGACGCGCAGTAATTAGCTCCACGCCTGGAATTTACTGCCAGCCTCCGCTCAGAGGTGATGAGGAGGGGACTAACCTGCCCCAGAGGCCCGGCGCTTTATTGATTTCCGTTGGAGGCTCTAAAAGAAAAACCCTGTATCTAATCAGCTTCCCGATAAGTTACACGTCCAGAAGGCACCCACCTGTGTGTCCAGACTCGGCTGAAGCTCCAGGACAGCTTCCTGCTCTTCGGTGTTTGTGGAAACCTTCAGAGAGGTGGTTGTTTGGTCCATACAGCAGAACTGTGCACTGGGGAGGCCAACAGCTGCAGGGGGGACCAGTTAACGAGCGCTAACGAGCTCTGAGGAGCTGTGAAAAACTCAGAGGAGTTATGAGAAGCTCTGAGTCACTCTGAGGAGATCTGAAAAGCTGTGGGGAGCTCTGAGGAGATCTGAATTAAACTTTGAGGATATATGAGGAGTTATGAGTCAGTCATAGGAGCCGACCATACGTAGCTGAGCCACCTGGAGATCTGAGGTTAATGCCTCCAAAGTATCTCTAAGAAAGTATGAACAGAAAATGGAACAAAGATAAGAAAAAAAAAGAAAGCTCCAGGACAGCTTCCTGCTCCTCGGGTGTTTGTGGAAACCTTCAGAGAGGTGGTTGGTGGGTCTATCCAGCAGAACTGTGCACTGGGGAGGCCAACAGCTGCACGGGGGACCAGCTAACGAGCTCTAACGAGCTCTGAGGAGCTCTGAGGAGCTCTGAGGAGCACTAACTAGCTCTCAAAAGCTCTGAATAGCTCTGACTAGCTCTGAGGAGCATTGACTAGCTCTGAGGACAGTTGAGGAGCACTGACTAGCTCTGAGGAGCTCTGAATAGCTCTGAAGAGAGTTGATGAGCTCCAAATAGCTCTGAGGAGCTCTGAATAGCTCTGAAGAGAGTTGATGAGCTCCAAATAGCTCTGAGGAGCTTTGACTAGCTCTGAGGAGTCCTGATGAGAGTTGAGGAGCTCTGACTAGCTCTGAGGAGCTCTGACTAGATTAACTCTGGGTAATATGTTAATATATCTGGTTAGTATGTCAAAGAAAGTATGAACACAAACTGTAACAAAAAAAATAAATGTGAACACGAGTTTGAACCTGTTGCAAAGCCTGGATTCACTAACATGGAGCAGTAGCTCTGAGTCTGGAGAGGAATCACATCTTCTGACCATCTTATGCTGATTTTACCACCATTTTTTTTTTAGACAAAAATGTGTTTTCTGCTTGATTGAACGTTGTATCGTCAGCCAGGAGGAGGCGCTAGCCAACAGAAGACATGGCTGTTTTTTGGGAGCTCCAGTCCTCTTCTTTGTAAGAGAACATTGTCAGGTTGAGGGAAAATGGAAGGAAAAGGCAATAAAGCATTAAAAATGACATAAAAGAGACATTTGGACCATTCTGAAAGCTCTAATAAAGCTCTAAAAATAGAGGTTAGATATGGAAAATTATAAGTTACACACAGGCTGCATCTTTTATTCAGATACACATCCATAAAAAGGAAACCCAACTAAATGGGGAAACTATCCCTACTCTTGGGATGAATGGATGAATGGATAACTCAGGAAAATTGAACTGATTTAGAGTCAAATGAAGAATGATTATCATTTCAGGAATGTTTACTTTAGGATGGAGGCCACGAACAGAAGGAAGCAAAACCTTTTGTGGTGGAAATGGAAGCGTCAGCTGCTCATTTCCAGCCTGAAAAGAGAAAAACAACTTTGTCTGAGTTAAAGGGAAACACACATTTATGTTTTCTGGGTGAGCATTACACGCCCAATCACTTCCCGGTCATTTTGTTTGATTAATTCTGCTATTAATCGCTTTGAATTTCTTTAATTCATACTCAATTCTAATTATTCCTTAAATTGCTAAAGCAAAATAAGTTGCCACAGATTAATGAAGATAGATTTAAGAGAGTGGGCTCTTTTTTTTACAATCAATTTATCATATTTATCATTTTGTGCCCTCATGCCTGATGAATAGCAGGAGGTCAGAGGTCAGAGGTCACGGGGGGCTCTCACCTGGAACTTCCTGTATGACTCAAAGGAAGAGACC